TCAAGTTCCCAATGCCAATTTCATTCAAGCATAATATAGATTTTGCACCAATATCTGGTTACTAATGAGTAAACTATTCCAAATTTGTCTCAGGAATTAGAATCAACTTGAACAGTGAAACTTTCCTCCCACATTTATTATGTGACTTTATCAACTCAAGTATTTGCTGTTACTTAAAAAATGTCTTCCTTGAGTGTCACAATTCAAGCTATCACTTGACATCAGAATGCTCCATTCAGCAAGCCTGGCCAAAAAAAGCAAAATACTATCACTCTATTTCTGCTCCAAACTGTTTTTGAAGGGTAATCAATATTCACCTTTACCTGGCCTATTAACTCACAGAAATACTACAAGGACACTGCTGGCACACATTAAACAAAATGTTACGTGCCACTGCTTTGAAACCTTCCTGGCCACTATCCTGAGCCACTGTCTGGCCCATTTCCCCCCTCATAACAAGTAACTTTTTACTGGATCATAGTTACTGAAGATGGGAATGCTCACAACCACCCAGAACTGGTACTCAGCAGCGTGAGCATCTCTTCCACTGCTAAGTAGAAGGCAGCACAGCACACAAAACCATCCTAATCCACTACATACCTAAGAATTACTTTTTTTAAAAAATTCTCTCTACAGACCTTAAATTGTACACCACTACTTTGTCTGTGAAAAGGTATAAATTATTAAATGCAAATATTGCTCTGGTGGACAGCCTTCTAAGTGCTTCCAGACAAATTCCCCCAGGGAAGGGGGGGAAAAAAACCAAAACAAACAACACACCACCACAACCACACAACACACCAAAACCATTACTGGTTTGAATTAATACAAGTGTCTCACCTGCTGCGAGGCCACACAACAGACCGGGACCTGGAGCGTGACCTGGACCTAGATCTGGGAAAAAAAACAATGGAAGCTCTACTACCACGTGCTTCATACAGGTAAGACAGAAACAAGTTATTGTAAATGTCCCAGAAGACTGAGAACTTTGCTGGACTACTGGTTTTGCAGAAGTAATTTTTATTATTATAAGGCTGTGACACCTTTGGTCAGTACTGCCATGCAGATAAAGTGAGTTCCACTGTCTTACTGGACTAAGCAATTACACCCTGTACATTTGAAGCTGAATTTGGAAACCTTAACCACAGAGCAAAGCTGTAACTTTGCTACAATGTTAAAAAGAAAAAATAAAGTCTCAGAAACAGTGGTTCCAAAACTATAAGTTAAATTTTAAGCACAGTATTCAAGTAGCCCTTACGTGTGTAACACCACAAAGGTTCCTACCAACATACAGACTGCAAAACAAACTTACTGATTACAGGATAAATGCTATAAAAAATATATGTAAGTATTTGATATTTCAGCTCCACATTATACACCCTTCAGCAATGCTGTGGGTTTAACAGCAAGCACGTACCTTGATCTTCTCAGAGAACCAGAGCGGGACCTGCGGGGTGAGAATGATCTGTATCTACGAGGAGACATCGACCGGGACCTGCGGTAGGAAGCCGACCTGGATCTACACGACAAAGCAAAAACCAACCCATCACTGCGAGGTACTTTTCACAACAACTGCAGGAAAGGAAGGGCTCAGAGAGCAAGGAGTGGGAAGGAAAACACAGAAGGCAGAGCCCTACCTCCTACCACGGCTGCGGCTGCGTGACCGGGAATACCTTCTTCCTCGGGACCTCGAGCGGGATCTCGACCGGGACCTGGGTTGAGGTTAGAAAAAACAGGTATCAGCAGACAGCTGCAGCACCCAGCACGTGTGAGGCCCTGCTGAAGTCAAAACTTTTTTCAGACAACTAAAAAGAGGATTTAAAAATAAAACAAAAAAAGAAAAACCAAAACCAAACCAAACAAAACAACAAAAACACACCACTAGCATCTGTCAGTTGGAAAAATGTCTGGGCCTACTTGTCTTGAGCATTTTTACTACCTAGAAAAATGTTAAAAGCTGAATTACATTGCAGAATTACATTAGAATAGAAAACACTGTAATGCGTATTTAAAATAAACCTTGCAAGTTTGCAGGTCGACCCTCTTTGGCCCAAGGTCTAGCAGATCTAGACGATCTAGAAGTATCTATAGGCGAGCGCTGCATCTAGGTAGGTGTTCTCTTCAATCTAACGACGATCAAACTGACAGCCCAATGAGCCAGGGTGAGGCTTGATTGACGCAAGAAGATTTTTCTAGGTGGGCATGTGGTCAATCTGGTGTTCCTCTTTCTAAACCGGAGGGGGGCCCCAATTGAAAGCCAAATTTACTGTTACGGCGGTCACCGTCTCAAATTTTCTGCCCTTAAAGAATAAGGTGAAGCTACGTGTAGATGGCTCGAGGGGATCTGGCCTCTTATGCTGATCACCTCAAGGTCTAGGAGGATCTTAAGTGTCGGATTTGCAAGGCGCCTCAGCATGAAATCTTAAGGCTCGTGACATTCTGAATCAAGGCGACTGACTCAAACGAAGAAACCTGAAAGGTTTTGACCAGGTTGATTATTAAAATAGTAACATTTGATAGAAATAGCAACAAATTGTAATATACACCTATACATTTATTCTAGCGTTAAATTTTAAAGAAAACTGGTGTAACATTGTGTTCTTTGCTAACAAGAACTACACAACAGCGAGCTGGCGAAGCAACGCGGCTGCCCCGGCCCCGCACCTACCTGCTCCTCCTTCGCCGGCTATAGCGGTGACAGTCATAGGCATAGTGGCCTTTCTCACCACACTCGTAGCATCTGTCGTTGGGGTCGAAGGGGCGCCGGGCGGGGGGCCGGTCGTAGCGGGAGCGGCGCGGCATCCCCGTGGATACTTCCACCCTGACCCTGGAGCCGCATATTATCCTGCAAGACACAGTAGCTATCAGCCAAAGGGGTATTTTCCTCTGATGCGCTCAAGCAACCACCATGAGAAATCCCTGACTGATGTGGCGTAGGGAGATCGAGGGCTGCGGCCCTCAAAGACATTCCAGACACGCACGTACTTTCCATCGAGGCCAAGCACAGCATCTTCAGCATCCCGGGGGTCTTCGAACTCCACGAAGGCGAACCCCGGCGGGTTCCTGGCGATCCACACGGTTCTCAGCGGTCCGTAGTAGCTGAAGGCTCTCTCCAGCTCGCCTTTGCCGGCGCCCGTGCCCAGGTTCCCCACGTACACCTTGGTCTCTGCGGGGACAAGCGGCCGCCATGTCAGAGCCGCGCGCGGCGCCGGGCACGCGGCCGCCCCTCCCCCGCTCCCTGCCCGCCGCCATCTTTGACACCGCGTCCATCTTAGAGCGCTCCCGCCGGCCGGGCCGGGCCGGGCCGCGCCCGCCCTGCACAGACCCCGCCGCGGCGGGCGCGCCCGGCCTGCCCCGGCCCTTCGCCAGCGTCCCTCTCAGCGGCCGCCTGACGGAACGCTCGCCTTCTCCCACCGCCGGAGCGGCACCAACGCCGCCGCCGTTCCCTCCACCTTTCCCCTCGCCCCGCTGCCCACAGCAGAAGCCCCCAGGGGCCTCTGAGACGCCCGGGGCTCCCCGCCGTGCTCACCATATCGCCCGTATCGCGACATCCTCCCGATGACAGCGCGAGCGCGGGCAGGCGCGACCCTTATATAGAGGAACCGCCGCCGCGCCTGCGCGCCGCGCGGGGGGCGGGGCGGGCCCGCGCGGGGCTCGCGAGAGGCGGCTCCCGCGCGGCCGCCATGGCGGCCCTGAGGGGCCGTGAGGGGCGCGGGCCGGCCCCGCTCCTGCTGGGCACACGCTCTCCCCCGGCAGCCCCCGTGAGAGATCCTGTCCGCCTCTGAGGGGGAACGCCAGTCGGGAGCCACTTGTGTTTTGCGCCCCTCATGCGTGACCCATCATGGCTTCTACCTGTGCTGAGGGTGAAGGAACTGACGCCATGGGCCTCATTCCAGGGGCAGGAGTGGTGCCTTCCTTGGAACAGGGCACCCCGGCGTTGCTCCAAATCTCTCGTGCTGGCTCACACCTCGCGTCCATCCCAACCAGCCTTGGGAGTTCAATTCCTGGTCCATCCCCTCGTATCTGACATGCAGCTGGAGCTGTTGGGTGTTGGCATCTCCCAACCTTTCCATGCAGTAACGGATATGCAGCAGACATTTTTTAATAAAAAATCAACAAAACCTGACAGGTGAAAAGTAATTTTAGGTAAATCCCAGCACGAATGAGGAGAGCCTTTAAGGAACAAGGGTTAGGCAGACTTTGCAGCTGCATTTGAGCACACCAATGTGCTTTTCGCCTAATAATGCAGAACAAATACACTGAGATAAACGAGGCCTCTAAATGTTCCTTACTGCATTAATCATCTCGGGAATAATCACATAATGATTCCTGCATCACACGTTAGCATAAACTAGAAACAGAGCACTAAAAACACAAACTTACTGAATTGCAACACATTTTCCTTTTACAGAACACTGGTTTTCCAAGCACTGCTGCTCTAAAATAACAAATATAGACAGGTAATGGTTTTAAAACCTGCTATTTGCCTGCTAACTTTCTCTAATAATTTTACAAACTCGGATATACAGTGTAGTTTATGTTCTAGGAGAACAGTAATGGGAAAAACAAAAAACCAACTAGCCATGAAAACAAAACAAAACAGCTTTCTGAACATTTTTAAAATTTGGTTTGGGAAGTCCAGATGTCATAATTTGCTTTCTACATAAAACAAAAAAAAGAATCTGGTAGGCAGTTCAAATAAACATGCCTCCAGCACTATATAATTAAACTAGTTTTAAAGGGAAAACAGGTTAAATGTATTATATATCACCTTTTACAATATTGTTACAAAAACTCTTAACTGACAAATCAGTTTATTACATCAGCATTATCCAACAGTTTGCTACTAATAAAAATAGCACATGAAAAAATGCTTGTGCTTTGAGTTTATTCTTCTTTATTCCTTCCTTTACATACAAAACAAAACAAGACAAAAGTACCCAAAAGGCAGCATTTCTGCAAACTGTGAATATTGACACCCAGGAGAGCTTCTGAAACGGGACAGTTCCTAAAGCAGGAGAGCTCCAGGAGATGGAAGTCCTCAGCAGCACTGCTGCTGCAGGTAGCGCTGCAGCAGCCTCAGCAGCAGCAGCGCTGCAGCAGCCTCAGCAGCAGCAGCCTCAGCTTTGCTGCTGCTGCTGCAGGAAGCGCTGCAGCAGCCCTCAGTGCTGTTGCTGCAGGTAGCATTGCAGCAGCCCTCAGTGCTGTTGCTGCAGGTAGCGCTGCAGCAGCCCTCAGCTTTGCTGCTGCTGCAGGAAGCGCTGCAGCAGGCCCTGCACGCGGCACAGGATGATCTCGTTGGTGCTGCTGCACTGCTCGGGGCCGTACGGGGGCTCGATGGTCAGCACGCCCGCCACGCTCAGCGTCCTGCCCAGCTCGCCCTGCTCGCCCACAGGGATGTGGTTTGTCTCCAGCCACGTCTTCAAGGCGTTCTTCCTCTTCTCCAGCTCCTCCGCGCTGTAGGCTTGGCTTTCCTCGGGCGCAAGGATGCGAGCGAGGCGCTGCTTCATGTCACTGTCCCCTTCCTGCAGGATCTCCACCTCTTGGACAGCGTGGCCCATGATGAATGACAAGGATCCTTTCTCGTTCTCTGGGAATGTTGCGAGGACAATGCTGTCAAGGAAAGAAGATTGTGTAAGTTCCTGTTCTTAACTGAAGACTGAGAAGCAGCTTCCAAGGTTTTGGAGATAAGAGCTCATTAGCATCAGTCTAATCCAGGTATTTAGGCAATAACCAGCACCCATCATTTTCCTTTGAAAAACATGCTGCTATACCCTTAAAATACTAAAAATATGGGGCTCTGCAGGGAATTGCTGGTCTTGGGCTTGAAACTACTCTAGACACTGTCAAGCAGAATATTAATGTACACTTTGCTTCAAAAAAATAAAGTCAAGTCTGGAAATCTAAATATTTTTGTGCAGCTTTCCCAACACTGCTGAAGAACCTAAAACACTTCAACATTCAGGAACAGTGATACCTTCATACATACAGCACCTTGAATGCTGAAGGCAGCTAACAACACCAGAACCTTTTAATGAAGCAGTCATATTTATTGATCATTGCCAAAAGAAGGTTTTTTTTAATGACTGTTGCCAGTTTATGAAATGAAAATACAACAGAACACTACAGAAGGCTCAGGCTCACATTGTAAAGCCTGGTGTTTTCCCAAGGGCACTTGCATCCCAGAAGTCCTAAAATGCAAGTAGGAAGGCAGCTGGTTTTATTTCTAGGATCTCTCCCTCATATATTAACAAAGTGCATCAGAAACTATTTCCTTCCTCTTGTGGGAAGCAAAATTCCAGGACTTGATACCAGCACTTCCCTAGCCAAATACTGCCACCATTACTGGAAGTAATTACTTTTTTTTTTTTTTTTTTTTTGCTGTGTCCAGTGAGATATGCCTTGATTTCAGCCTGGACCATCATCTGAATCATTCACAGGTGCATGCACCTTCCTTACCAAAATGACAAGAAACTTCAGGAGATTATTGGAGCTACTTCAGAGCTGAAGCAACAACCAGTTCTTCTGAAACACATCAGAAGCGAAATGTTTCAGTTTTCAGCCTCCAGCCTGTGTTCATGTGGGACAAGCTCACATGCAGTAAGGTATGAAAGAGTTCTGGCAGCAAGGAGACAAATTTCTGCCCATTCTCTGGTGCATTTTGCCTTTCAAACCCTGTTTTCAAGTTATTCACTTGGGATACCAGAGATGTGTGGTACCACTTTCTGTCCAGTGCCCCTGATTTTCCCAGGTTGCTCTCCAATGAAGCCTCAACACCTTCCTGGGTGTCTGGCTGGAGTGGAAAGCCAGGCATCAATGCAAGGATTCTGGACAAAGGCTAAGGATTTCAACACCTAAAGCACTGAAAACACTCCAGCACTCTTCGTAAAGCAGGGCTTGGTGTAGTACCAAAAACAATCTTTAACACATAGATTGTTGAGAGGTAATAGTATAGCTTAATATGTAAGTTTTAAATTAGAGTAAGTCACTTGGAATTACAATACTGTGTGATTTAATATGCTGTTCACTTAGCTTTACTTGCTTAGCGTGAGTAGCTGGGTTTGCTGAAGCCTTGGCTGCAAGCTCTGAACTTTCACCTTGAACACATGCATTCAGCTGGTAGAGAGCTGATTTTTTAGCAATTCTCCTAGAAGCTGGCACAGTGCTGAGTTTTGAATTTACAGTGAGAATAACATTCCTGATATTTTGGTTGTTGCTAAGCAGTGCTTATTCTAAACCAAGGACTTTTTAGTTTCCCATGCTCAGCCAGAGATGAGGTGCACAGGAAGTACAAACCAGAAGATAAAGAGGCTGCAGCCATCAGCAGGAACTGCAACTTAACAAGATAACATGCCATTTTTGCTCCAAATAAGTTTGCTTCAGCCTTGGAATCTTTTCTCCTCCTAAAAATCTTGCTTTGCATAAAAGCTTTGGTACTTACGTGGCAGAAACTGGGTCAACTGTTAAAAGCCATCCTTCGTATTCATATTTCTCAACTGCAACAACTTTCACCAACTTGTTCACATACGTTTCCCAGTCTAGAGGGCTTTTTCTCTGCCAGTCATTCATATTTCCTACATCCAGGACCTAGAAAACAACCAAATCAGTCAGCAGATGCAGTCAATCTTTTTGCTTTGGTCTTCATGTCAGGATTGGGTTTGCCTCCATGTAAAGATTTGTCTTTAGCAAAATTTGCCCTTTTTTTTTTTTAAGCAGACACTCACACAAGTGGTTTGCATAAAGCTGCACTTCTGTAATTCCCCACGGAGTCTGCTTGTTTTTAAAGGCACACAACAAAGCCAGAAAATCCCGTGTTCTGGGAACCTTAAGCTTTCCCGTTGCATTCAACACTCCATCTACTGCTCTGCCTTCTCACAAAACCTTGGAGGCAGAAGTTTAGCGCCTTTGTTTTGTGCACTGGCGCATCACTGGTACCCGAGCCCCTGCACCGCCTTGGATAAGCGCTATCCACGCGGCTCCCTGCGCTGGAGCACCACCAAGTGCACTTCCACTCTTTTCCCCCGTCCGGCATTCCCAGCCCAGCCCTCCCCCCGAGCGGGGCCGCTTCGGGGAGCACAAGGGGCTGGAGGGCGCTTCGTTCCCCGGGAATGCCTTCCCAGCAGGAAGAGCCTGCAGAGGCCAGCTGGGCGGGGGCAGGACCCGGTCCCCATCCCCCTTTCCCGCTCACCGGCCCCGGTTCCGGTTCGCGTTCCCGGCTGGGAGCTGCCGCGGGCGGCACCGCCGAGCGCCTTCCCCCGGCCCGGGCTACGCACCCAATGCTCCCATGCGGCACGGAAACGACACAGAGCTCGGCACGCGTCAGGCCAGGTCGCAAAACAAGGAGTCGGGGGGCGTGTGGCCCCTCTGGAGCTGGATTTGCTCCCGGGGTGCTCCTGCTGGCACAGCTCGCACGCGCCAGGCCGTGCCTCGTCCGTGTGCTTTAACAGGGACAGACGCACGCTCTGTGCATCTGCTGCATAAAAATACGGTGGTTTTGTTCCCTGCTTCTCGAGCTGCTTTTGGCAAGGCTTGCCGTGCCGCCGTGAAGGCGGGAAGCTCGATTCCAGCACCCACTCCTGCTCCATTTCAGCAGCACTCATGGATGAGCCAAACAAGCTGCTAGTCATGGATTCCGTGATTTGTTGGGAATTTGTGAAGGCGAGCATGCAACGGTTTCGTGACTGCTAACACAAAAAAAATATAAAGGGTATAAAATGAGACAGTCATACTTTGCAGGCTCAAAGGAGCTACTTCCTTTTTTTCCTTTCTCTTTGGGAATCTCAACTCAGCGATTGTGTGTGAATGGCTTGTGCCTCTGCATTCAGCTACTGCTGCCTTTCAGCCACAGCTCGTCTATTAGAAAGCAGAGAGAGCACATCTAATTGTTTTCGCTCCACAAACAAGCACTGGCCCGCACTCCAGAGGCAGCTACGCACCAGCTTTTGGGAATATCGCCTCCAGTACTGGATGCCTCCAAGGATTGCTCCCACTCAGGAGCGGCCAGGACAGAAATGCCCCACTGGCTTTAGTTCCATCGGGCAGATGATCACCTGCAGCAGCCGCAGTAGGACGGGGAGTCCGCTTTCCCAGGAAAATACCCTCCCGTTCCCACTGCCTCCCCCAATTCCTATTGCAGGCCCCAATTCCCGTTCAGACGCCCGCCCCCCGCGCATGCGCGCCTCCGCGCGGCGCGGGGGAGGCGGGGGAGCAGCTCAGGGGGCAGGCGCGTGCGGCGGCGCGTGCGCGCGGGCGGCGGAGCCGTGGGGATGTCGCGTTACGGCCGCTATGGAGGCGGTGAGAGCTCCCGGGGGCCGCGGGCGGCGGGCGGCTGCGCGGGCCGAAAGGCGAGAGGGTGTGGGAGAGAGGCGATCACCGCGGGGAGCTTGGCGGCTGGCGGGCGCCGGCGGGGAGGGGAGGGAGGCGATGCGGCCGCCGCCGCCGTTGTTGCCGCCGCCATTTTGCGTCAGCGGCCGTGGGGGAGGGCGCGCGGCCGGGCGCGCGGCGCGGCGCTGAGGGCGGGAAGGGCCGCGCGGACAAGATGGCGGCGGGCGGGGAAGGCGGGGCGGGGGCTGAGCCCGCTCCCTGTCCCGGCGCCGCGCTGACCCCCCGCCCGCTCCCGCAGAGACCAAGGTGTACGTGGGGAACCTGGGCACGGGCGCCGGCAAAGGCGAGCTGGAGAGAGCCTTCAGCTACTACGGACCGCTGAGAACCGTGTGGATCGCCAGGAACCCGCCGGGGTTCGCCTTCGTGGAGTTCGAAGACCCCCGGGATGCTGAAGATGCTGTCCGTGGACTTGATGGGAAGTACGTGTCCATTCCGCGTGTTTCCCGAGGCTTCTGAGAGAGAATCGGGGTTTATCTCGCTGGTCCTTGTGCTTTAGTAGTTCTGTCATGGACTGAGAGGTTTAACCCAGCCCCTTCATGGACTCGTTGCAGGGTGATATGCGGCTCCAGGGTCAGGGTGGAAGTTCTCTTTAGTTGTCTGAAAAAAGTTTTGACTTCAGCAGGGCCTCACACGTGCTGGGTGCTGCAGCTGTCTGCTGATACCTGTTTTTTCTAACCTCAACCCAGGTCCCGGTCGAGATCCCGCTCGAGGTCCCGAGGAAGAAGGTATTCCCGGTCACGCAGCCGCAGCCGTGGTAGGAGGTGTGTTTGAGTTTGTCTTTTATCCCTTTTGCCTTCTTTTGCCTAGAAAAAGATGTACTTGAACAACTCTTGGAATTGTTTTCTTTGCAGGTCCAGGTCAGCTTCCTATCGTAGGTCCAGGTCCGTGTCTCCTCGTAGGTCTAGGTCCGTGTCTCCCCGCCGGTCCCGGTCGGGTTCCTTGAAGAGATCACGGTAATTAGTACTAATTTTTTCTCTGTGATTTATTTTTGCTGGTGTTTTCTTATTTTATTAGATTCCGGAAGATATTGCATAGCAGGTTTCAAAAGATGCTGACCTCTGGAAGTCAGCAAGCTTTTAAAAGTTTCTGATAATCCTAGTTAAATTCACAGGCATGCTAATGAGTTTTGAAACCTGAGTCTACCATGACTCAATTTCTTTGTCTAAAATGTCTAATGATCATATATGTCTATAATCATGTAGGTCTTAATGTAGACAATGTCACAATGTAGACATTAATTTATATAGTTCTGTAATTGTCATCACTTCTTTTTTAGTTTATTTATTTTTCATTTATCTAAATTTTTTTTTTCAGGTCTAGATCAAGGTCCAGATCTAGATCCAGATCTGTTACATGGCCCCGAAGCAGGTATGTGACTATAGGTACTTGGTAAAAGTTGCTTAGAAGTCTCCTTAGGGTCTCTAACAATTGTTAAGGTTTTTTTCCAGGAAAATATGTGTTCTCCCTCCACTAACTCAGGGGTCTGTAGTTTTAAAAAGCAGTGAAGAAGATAGTTCTTCCTCTTTTATTCTTTTGCACACCACTGACATCTAGGTCACCATAGTCATCAGAAATACTGGTTTGATCAGGTTGCATTAACAGCTAACAAATGTAGAATTAATCTCAAAAGTTTCTTCTTCCTTGTGTACCACACACAGGATTGGGATTCTTGCTATTATTTTTATGAGAAAGCAGGATGCCCATCCATTAGTGTGTTAATGTTGTATTGTCTGCAGCCAAGCAAGTCTTGAAGGGCTTGCTGGTGTCCTGAGTGTCACAGCTGCAATTCCAGCTCTGTTGAATATCAGTGTCAATCTGCAGGAGCTGATTTTGATTTGAGAAAAACGCCTGTCAGAATTATTTTGTACCAATAATAAACATGTCACAGGAGTAACAGTCACTTTATAAAGGAACACAGGATTGTATTTGTTCCTTGAAACTACCTGCCAGTAAGTAAGTGCAGCCTGTGCTTCATGGAGCCTTGTCCTGGCAGAGGGCTGGCTGGGTGTCCTCCACAAGAGCAATAGTAAATGGAAATTCTGCTCTGGATATGGAATTGCTTATGGCCCAGCCTATCCCTGTGCCTGCTGTGCTGGTTTCAATGGCTGCTCTTTGAAACAAGGAACAGTCAACCATGAAGAAACAGGAAAATACAGGAGAGCTTCAGCTAAAGGGAACAGGTGGAAAAGCCCACAGCTGAAGGTGGCATTTTCTGTGAATGGACAGCAAGCAGTGATGGGAGTTTTAGGGGAAAGGAGAGATGAAGACCAGATAGCTTAACTAAGAGCAGAAACTCACACAAATAGTCCAGAAGCTGATAAAGAGAGAAGGTTGCCCAGGGCAGTAGAGCAGTGCCTTTCTCTGGCTGGGTACACCTGTGGCTAAACCATGTTGAATCTTAGTATGGTTGTTCCACCATGACTTAATCATGGTTTATCACTGTCCACTGTCAGTGATGAGCCAGAAACAGCTACAGGCAGCAGACTCTCAAAGAGGAAAACATCTTGATTTTACCACCATTGTTTACTCTTTTTGGCACCGTGCTGGTTTTCTGCAGGGTAAAGGATACTTGTAGTGACATTTCTAGACAGTTGTGTGACACTTTGCATTGTAAGTAGGGATTAAGTGTCTGAGGCATAGGAAGTTACAGATGGACAACTAGCCAGAAGTGGCAGAAGAACTGTGCTTATGTAATTGAAAGATTATTTTTTTTACAGAAGAGCCCAAGGAATGCATTGTACCCAGAGACAGGCTCTGGGTTCATGAGGGAGACTAAATGAGTACATGACATTTGCTGGTTTGACACTGTCACAACATGCATCTGGAAATTGTTGTGGAAAGCCTTGGATGTGGAATGTAGAACACTTCTTGGGGGATCTCAAAATTTCAGTGAGGCTTTCAGGCAGTATTAGTGTTCCCATGGTGCAAAAACCTCAAAGGTGGACATTTTATACATTTTTTCATAAGGATTAAGTTCAAACATTAAAAAAAAATACTTGAAGTAAGTGGATATATAAGATGAACTTCACAGAGAAGATACTTCTGAGAATGAGCTGTTGGCCACTGCAGTGGCAGATGTTGCTCAAGTCTAATAAAACCTGCAAGTTGAGAGCAAGGCTTTTTATTATCTCTCTAAAAATACTAGTCAGGATTTGGGTTGTTCCTGTGTTGCTGCCACCTGCATCAGCAAACACTGATCATCAGCTAGGGACCGAAGTACAGAGCAACATGTGCAGCATCCATGAAAAGACTTCTTTGGAAACTTAGCAGGCAAAACCCTGAAAACTTGCAGGATTCTGTGTATTCAGCATGACATGCTCATCCTGCTGTCCCAAACGTGGGAATCTGCATGTTCTGTTCCCTGCTGAGCTGTGTTTTTTCTTGCAGCGTATTCAGCATGACATGCTCATCCACTGAGTGTGAATCCTGCTGTCCCAAACGTGGGAACCTGCATGTTCTGTTCCCTGCTGAGCTGTGTTTTTTCTTGCAGGTCTAGGTCTCATGGCAGATCAAAGTCTGGCTCGCCAGCTAAGAGGTGAGCACACACACAGAGCCTGCTGTAGCATCTCAAATTTAGGTTTGCATGATTAACAGAGCCTGGTCCTTTAGAAAAATACTCCCCTAACATGGGTCCGCAGCTAATCTCTTTGTGATATGACAGAAATGATGGCATTTCCTCTGCAGCTCTTTGGAACACGTTCCTTACCTGTCTCTGGGTTTTCATTAACTTTTTGTTGTTTCCAACATAGTACTAATTTTTGTGCTCAGTTCTGTTAAATTTTTCTATCCATCAAATAAAGACCTTGGGCTCTGTTAATGCTTTTCATAAAACAGCAGTCTGGTGATGTTGCTTTTCTCAAAGCCTCACCTTAATACCACCCATTGTTTTTCTGTTTGTCTGATGAAGAAAGTTGTTTCAAATGCATCTCCACACTAAATAAATGGAGAATCCCTGTCAGAGTAAAAGTTGATCTGAAAACTACCATTGGGAAGAGCTGGCTAGATTCCTGTAATTCACTTTCTGATAGGTTGGGGGTGTTTTAAACATAAAAGTTGCATTTGACATTTAAGCTGCATTGATGCTGTTCTGTTTTGGCAGCCGGTCAAAGTCTCGGTCACTGTCTCCAAAGAGAAGGTATGTTGGTCTCCCTGCTAATAGCAGAGACTCCCTAGAGCTGGCATTTTAGTGTCTGCACTGAACTCTGCTGAGGAGTTTGCTGCTTGTAGGAAAGTACTGGAGAGGTGTTTTGCTGCGACCTCTTTCACAGCAATAATGTTGTGGTTGAGGCTTTTTATATGGTAATATGTATATGTGGTGATAAATGCTCAGGGTTATGTAGCAGTGTCTTCTTGTTGTCTGCTCTCCAGTTCTTTTGTTTCACTGACAGTTTTATTGCACAGACACTGAGCTTAAAGCATAGAATAAATGTAGGAAATCAGGTTTCAGTCTCATTAAATGCTACACTGACATTGGGGAAGGTACCCTGGAAGGTACAGTACCCTGGTACAGCAGTCAGGAATGAAAAATCAGACCTGTTATGTTCACTGCTGTTAGATTTTATTTTTTTTTTCTTCTGCATTAAGTCAGTAAATAGTCCTCTCTATCTCTGTGTATGCTGCACAGAGTAATGTGTAGAATATGTAGAGTGACAGAATCAGCAGCTTTTTTTCCCTAATTAGAATTCTTTAATAGTTCATTTTTACAACTTTAGTGTCAAACAATCACAAAGGCATGAAAAAGTGCTCAGAAATGCTGAGTGATCACCATGATAGGTTTTGACAAGCTGCTGTATCAGAACAGTGAAGAAGTATCTTGCCCCTGTGGAGGTCACGATAAGTAATACCCTTTGGATTGCCTCACAGGGATCTCATTTTAAAAATAACAGTTAAGAAAAAAAGTGTTATCTCCAGATCATCAACCCATTAACTTTTGTCAGTAGTGATTGGTTATTTTATTTAAAAAGTGCTTAAAGGGAGCCAGTCTTGGTATACTCCTGTTGCTTTTTCCTGTATTTGCGATTCCCAAGCAACTACTGAAATGTTAATTGTGGATTGTTTTCCTTTCAGCCGTTCACCATCAGGAAGCCCTCAACGAAGTGCAAGTCCTGAAAGAATGGATTAAAGTTATGAAGTTAATCTTTTAGGGAGAAAGTTATTTTGCTTACATTATTATAAGGGATTTTGTGGTGTCTTTGTAAATGTAAGAATGTAGATAGAAGAGTATATCAACTAAAATTTGGCATGATCTGGGTCTTCTGAGTTAGTCACACCAATAGACTAGCACAGGTCTCTTTTTATTGTATGAATTAACTTCCTGTGATATGAAAATGTGGGACTTTTTTATTGGCACATTGAAATAAAATGTGTATTTTTAACTAAAACTTCTCTGTAGTAACCCTGCTGCTTCTGTTAATGTTTGGGTAATTTTAGCTGTGTGCCATGTAACGTGGATGAAAAATGTCTAAAATGGGAATCACTGATCCCAGCTGGTGTCTTCTCAAGGTAGTCACCTTTCACATCTACTGTTGAATGGTCTTTGGTGAAAGAATCAGTTCCTGTTCTCCTTGAAATGGAATTTAAAATCCATCTCTGTCTGCAGATGGATAAAAATTTGCATATGCCCTTTTCATGCCTTGATATTTAGCGGGCATTCATTTTTCTGCCTGATCTGCTTATTCTGCAAAGCTTATTCTCTGGTGTTTGACTGTTGATACCAGATGCCTCAAAAATCTAAGGAAAAACTTTCCTCCAAAACACATCTTTTAAGCAAATAACATCTGCAGAAAACTTTAAAGGTAATAGCAATTATTAATAATTTGAGAATTGCTACTTTCACTTGTTGCATTTTTTAGTTCCTTGGGCTGTTGATGTAAAGAAAACTTTTTAAAATACCTCAAGGCGTGTTTACCTTTTTTGAGGAAAGATCCTTAAAATGAAAGACTATAGCTGCCCTCAGGAGTTCTAACCTGCTTCACAGACTGAACTGGTATGGTTGTCAAGCAGCCCATATCCTGGAGGTGGCTTTGTTGAATGATCCAAATTTCTTACAGCAAATACACAACTTGCAGGAGTCATTATTTGTGTATAGGTGTGTCAAATTGTCCTCACTTTGTATGAAGGAATTGCATGACAAAGCACTTCAGCACAGATCACAGCAAGGGACTGGCAACAGTGTTGGACTGTGAGCAAAAAAAACTGGTAGGCAGAGGGGTGAAAAGCCTATTTTCTTTTTGCTGGGATTGGCTATCTGGCAGAAATAAAGGCCAGTTTCAGCAGCAGGTAAGCACTGAAATGGAAAGCCAGGCCTGTTTGGGCTTCCAATGAAATCTATCAGCAGTTTGCTTCCACTGTGTAAACCACAGCAGAAAGCTTAAATAAAGTTACAAGATGATTTTGTTACACGTGGGGTAACACATGGTTTTCAAGAAACAGATTTCCTGTTAATGACTGCATGGAGCTTTTCCGGTGGATGAGTCAACAGTCCAGATCCTGAAGGTGCTGTTCTGCTGCAGCATCCTCTGGCCTTTATTCCTGGTCCTTGCTGTGCCTGGATCCTCTCTGGGGCTCACCATGGTATTCCTGGTGGATTCTGGCCATAGTCACAAACCCCACTGTGGCAGGGCTGACACAAATGTCACCCCGCAGTGACTGAGCCCAAATGCCTGAAGCCTGTGATACGTGTTTGGAATATTTTACTGGTTGTGCATTGTGTACCTGGTGAGAGGCACACGTACGCCGCTGCTCTGGAATTTCATCACCTTTTCTTTTCTGTACTCTCAAGGCAAACCTGCTCCACAATAAACCTGCAGACTGACATGACAGCTCTACTGGTACCTGTTTTTCAGTACCCAGAGACACTGGAAGACTGAGCAGAAGAGCCTGGGGCCTCTAGGGGGGCTGGGGTTCCTCTAAACCCAGACATGAGAACCTGAGCAAGGAGCAGGGCTCTGCTGGTGCGGACAGCCAGTCTGAAGGACAGCCAGCACTTGGAAGGTGCAGAGGGGGAGCAGTGGCAAAGATGGCATCTGTGCTTTTATGCAGCTGTGCTGTCCAAAATTGAGCTCTGGCCTGAGTTTGGTAGGATTTCCCCACAAATTCCATGCAGTGTTTGTGGACAGTTGGAAAAGATGCCATGACACAGGGGTGCGTTGTGGGACTGGTGCTGCTGTGACCCGGTGCCTCTGGGCAGGATGTGCACACCCCACACAGGCTGGCTGGGGGTGGGGGCAAGGGAAGTGTATCTCAGGTCTCCAGTGTGGTGGGCAAACCCCACTCTCAGGGAAAATGGGGTTCCCCTGGTTTGCCACCTGGTGTTCCCTGCTGGTGGCCTTTGTTCTGCAAGGGATACCAGCCCTCACAGACAATGACCTGTGCACAGCAGGAGAGTAGTGGGTCTGTCTAGTCTTTAGGTGTCAGGGTGGCAGAACTGACTGTGACAGAGCTGCCACATTTGCCAGCCCAATGGCCAGGCACTTCCCCTGGGGGCAAGGGCATTCCTGCATCTCTGCACTGAGGAAGCATGGTGAAGTGCTGCAGGCCCTGGCTGCAGCAGCATGGCAGGAGAAGGTGGGACACAGTGCCTAATGCAAGGACTGTCTGCCTGTTTCCCTGGGGAGTGGGCTATCAGCTCCCTAATAAGATAGTTCTGTCATCCCCTGGCTTGTGCCAATTTTTTGGAACCCTCAAAAACATGGAGGTTTTCATCACATAGTTCCCTGATCCAGGACTTTGGAGATTTCATGTGGAAACAGTGTTAGGATGATGGGTTTTCTCCTGCAGTTGTATATTCAGGACTAAATGGGTGTGCCCAGTTCAGGAACCAAGGCAGAGCACAGGAGTTTAACCAGAGCACCCAGGGCAGCCAGCTGGGATAATCCCAGTACACTTGTAAGAAACACAACAAAACACACACTGTCCTCCTCAAAGATGTCCTGCATGAGCACTGCACAGCACTTAGAGAGCACTTTGATGGAAGGAACAGATGTTGTAACAAACAACCACAACTGCATCAGCCTTCCCACATGCTCCACATGAATATTACTAGATATTCCCTTGCTGTCATTGGAGCTGTGATGGCCTTCCCCATAAACAAGGTGTTTTCAGTGCATTTCTAGCATTTTTACTGCAAAACAAAACCCAATGCCCAGGGTGAGAAGCTGGACAGAGTGTAAGACTTTGGCACAGACCAGACAGCAGCAGAGATGGTGACAGGAGCTAAAGCCAGCAGAAACCATGTGTGGAAACCACAGAGGAAGATAAAGGCTCCGAGATCAGATGCATCACCCAGGGTAGCTGGAAAGCTCTGTTTGGCACCTGGCAGGATTTCTGGCTCAGCTGTGGAGGCACTTACCCCTCTCAGTGCTGGCAGTCAGCAGCCCTCCTCCTCAAGCAGTGCTGAACACAAGCCATGTGGTGTGGTTGTACTCCTCACCCGGACGGAGCAGGGCATTGGGGAAGTGAGACTGGGGAGAAGCAGCAGCACATCAGTGACTGTGAGCACATTCTGTGGGAAGCATGGCTGTATCCCTTTGTTCTTCCCAAGGCATATTCCCACAGTTCCCCCCAGCCATTTCCAGCAGCAGTGTGTAACCACCCACCACTTGCCAGGGGGCTGAGTGGGCGAGTCCCACCACTGGTTGAATCCAGGCTGTGAGGATCCAGATATGAGAGGATGTGGCAAGGCCCCAGTGGGGCCATCTGCTCTAGACCCCACACCTTTGGGAAGCTGGGCTGCACAGGGCCAGTCCCTGCTGCACTGACTGACTCCTGTCTAAAGGCACTGTGACCTGTGCCTGCCTCACTTCTGGTGTCTGCAGTGTTCCCTTGACAAGGAGACTCTGTTCCTACATTTAGGACCCAGAAACATGGAGGGTGGTGGGGGTATGTCCCCTGCCACAGGACCCAAGTAACCCGTGGGACAGGAATGGACAGCTCACCTTGTTAACGGCATCAGGCCAGTTCTGGGTTTCCAGGCAGAAAGCTGAGTGCTTGGGGTACGTGGCAGCACCTTTGCCCTTCAGGGAGCCATCCAGGAAGTTCCCAGTGTAAAACTGGATGCCAGGCTGGGTGGTGTGAACCTCCATGGTCCTGCCGGTGCGGGGGTGGAACACCCTGCGGAGATGCCAGTGGAGGATGACACGGGCTGGCTGAATGGGCACCCCCTGGCTCCAGGGGTGGGAACTCCTGCCAAGGACCCAGCCTACCTGGCCCCAAGGCGTCGATCCTGTCCCTGATGCAGGCAGAAGTTGTGGTCAAAGCCATCCAGGTGAAACTTCTGCAAGTGCTTGCCCAGCTCCACAGGCTTCCGGAGATCAAATCCAGTGCCCTCCACGGCGGCCACCTCCCCTAAGCAAGGGGAACAGCAGGCTCAGCCACTCAGCCACATGCCAGCAAACCCTACCTTGTCCCCCAGCATAGCTGGCAGCTCCTGGGGACATTGCTGTACTCAGCAGGGACAGAGCACAGACAAGGAGCAAGGAAACACATGAAGTTTGTGTGTGTACAAACCCAGCATTTTCTCCCTTGTCCTTGTAAGACTGCTATGGGCATACAGTGTCCTGTGATAAAGCAGTACAGACAACCCCAGGACATACTAAGCACAGTGCAAAACAGTCACCCCAACCCAAAGATTTTGCATGGAGGGCAGACTAAATGTCTTGGATAAAAAATGAAACCATTCCAATTCAGGCACTTACATAAAATACAGCATGTATTGCTGTATTTAGGGGGGATGTAGGGGTCTGTCTTTAATAATTGCACCAATCTTATTTTCACCCCAAGACTAAGACTACCCACACAAGAAGGAACTGCAAAAGGCAGGGGTAGCAAGCTGGCCACAACTGAGATGTCAAACAGCTCCATGGTGAAAGCAGCAGGGAGAAGTGGGCAGTGGATTGGGTATGGCCTTAAGCTCTTCCCTATTTGTCCACAAGCATAGCACACCAAGCTGAGCAGAAGCCACCTGGACCAAAGAATCCACTCCTCCAGGTGCCACAGGCAGCTTGTCTCCTGGATGGACCCACAAAACAGCCTCACATCCCATGTGCCTCTGGCCCCATTTCCAGCTGCTCCTGCCTGCTCCCTGGGGCTGGTGATGGGCCTGGTTACCAGCACCTGGCTCTGCCCCCCCTGCTCATGTGCAGTGGGACTGAACCCAAAGGTGAGAGCCCCGCTGTGCCTGGGGTTCCCTGGCTGCTGGTGTCTCCCCTTGCCAGGCAGTGCTGCTGCCCACAGCCACCAACACTGCTCATAAAGATCACTTCCACCTGGTGCCACAGGCACCACTCACCAGTAGGGATCTGGGTGCTGTCCACAGGCAGGTAGGAATCTGCTTCAATGGAGATCTCATGGTCATAGACATCCCGGGAGCCCTGCAGGAGGA